TTGCTCTGAGCCCCCTGGAGCCATGTCTCATGCTCCAGCCCTGCCCGCTCCTCTTTTGCTGCAGACTCAAGAGAATGTGACAGAATGGTCCTCCTTGCCAGGCATATTCGTTTTCTCTTTCCGCTGTAACAAATGGCCATAAACCTAGGGGCTTAAACGCTCAGTAGCTTACGGTTCTGGAGGTCAGAAGTCTGACACGGGTCTCCCTGGCAGGGCTGCGTTCCCTTCCGGAGGCTTGGGGGCAGGGGTGGGGTGGGTCCATCTCTTTGTCTTTTCTATCTTCTAGAGGCCACTTGCATTCCTTAGTTGTGGCCCCTCTCCTCCATCTTCAAAGTCAACACTCACACCTCTGACCATCTTTCCATAGGCATATGTTCCTCTGACTGATAACAGCTGGGGAAGATTCTCTGCTTTAAGGCCTCGTGTGATTAGATTGGGGCACTGGATAATCCAGGATAATCTCCCCATCTCAGGGTCCTTAGCTTTAATCACATCTGCAAAGTCCCTTTTGCCCTGTGACGTAACATAATTATAGGTTCCAGGGATTTGGATGTGGACGAGTTTGGGGGCACTGTTCTGCCTGCCACACCAGGCCTGACATTGGTTCTTCCCTCCACTCTGACTGTCCCGTGCACGGGGGCTCAGCTGATCCACGGGAGTCTCTGGGCATCCTTTCTTTGCGGGGGGTGGGGAGGCAGGGAAGGAGGGAGGGGAGCCGCTGAGTGTACGACTGAGGGTCTTCAGTCCAGGGCTGATAGGTAAGAAGGGTAAGAAAGTGCAGCCCGCTTTCTACCTCACTGGACGACTGGTACAGAGCAATGAGCAAAGTCTTATTTCATTTTGAAATGAAGAAAAGCCAACATGTGGCTTTGTTCTGTAACTGTTTTCGAATGTTGATATCCTAGGGTTGATTACAGAGTTCAGAAGCACAGGTGCAATTCTGTTCCATTTGTACCGAAACTGGGGGCTAAAACAAAATCATGTCGAAGGTCAGGGGGCACGAGGCACACGCGGATCCAGGCTGCAGTGAAAACACCAGTGTGTTGGTTTCATTCGTTCTGCCGGCTCGAGTTCACCTACTAGCCACTTGCTCCGGCTGTCCTTGCGTTTAGCCTTTCCATGTGCCTGTTGGCTGTGCACTTCTAAATCAGAGCTCAGCTGCAAAACAAGGGCTTGGTCCTAGGCTTTTTGCTCAAGCACAGCGTTTCAGTCTTCAGCTTGGTGGAAAGCTTCAATCATCAGAAGCTTTCTCGGCAGATGAGCAAAATCTTTGCTTTGAAGTCAATTTTGGTTGACATTGTAGGGATTAACCCAAGATTTAATACCTGCCCTCTCCCCAGTGGTCATGCATTTAGCTGTGTGCTCTTGGGCAAGTCACTCAACCTCTCTGAGGGCAGCACCGCCTCTCTTACAGCAGGCCTGTGATGATTGGGGAATGAACTCTGTGGTTGCCGGAAGGCTGGTGCGGTTGGGGGTTAGAGGCTTCTTCATGTGCAGGGAGGGGGGACGTGGGAGCATGCTGGTACCACAGTGGTTGAGGCCTCCCCTGGTCTGGATCAGGAGCAGAAGCCCAGGAAGTGCAAGGTGAAGGTGAGGAGGAGCAGAGACCGCGAGCCCGCTGCTCGGCTGAATGGGGAATCGAGGGGACAGAGAGACGCAGAGAGGCAAAGAGGGAAGGACCAACCACCTGTCAGTCCTGTGACATCAACCCCCTTCCCTTGGGCTACCTGGACTGATTTTCTGTTTCTTGCACCCAGAAGATCTTTGTGTAGGATGCTTGGGAATCAGGATTCGGAATGAGCACTGCATCCTGTCAATCAGATCATTTTTAATACTTCCGGTATTTTTTTTTTATTTTTTTTTTTAATTTTTTTTTTCAACTTTTTTTTTTTATTTATTTTTGGGACAGAGAGAGACAGAGCATGAACGGGGGAGGGGCAGAGAGAGAGGGAGACACAGAATCGGAAACAGGCTCCAGGCTCTGAGCCATCAGCCCAGAGCCCGACGCGGGGCTCGAACTCACGGACCGCGATCGTGACCTGGCTGAAGTCGGACGCTCAACCGACTGCGCCACCCAGGCGCCCCGACTTCCGGTATTTTTATCTCATATTTGCCTTTTGTTTCCTGTTAATAGTATGAGTCTCTTAAATTCTAAATTTAAAAGTCTAAATCTAGCCGTGAAAGTCTAAATTCTGACGCAGCCCTCCTAAGGAAATGCGGGGAAGGAATCTTCCGAGCCTGGCACGTATGAGCAGAGTTTCCAGATTTCAGGGACTCCTGCCTGGCCAGCTTCTTCCCAGCCCACACCTCTCCTCGGAGTGCTCATTGTTGGTAGGCTGGGCACTTCCTGTAGAACCTCATTTCCTCATTATAACACGCGGGACTTTCTATGGCCCCAAGGCTCTGTGATCCTGAGAAAGCAATGTGATCCCAGTGACCCTAAGGTGGGCACTGGAATCCACTGAGGACCCAAGACTCCAGGAGAAGGATCAGATACCAAATCAGCCAAACACTGGCCCTTCCTGCTTTTCATCTTCCAGAAACACAGGCCCCACATCTGCCTCTACTTCTGCTTCCTCCCCTTTCCTGCCCCACTCCCTCCCTCTAGATGCACTAAGACCATTTGGTAAAGAAAGGATTGAAGGGAGCCCCCTCAGGAAGGAAGCCAGGGGGCTGAAATCAGAAGCAATTTCAGCTGGGCACACGGATTTCCCTTCCACCTCACACACACTTCTTATACCGCCCTCCAATTTATTGTGTTCCCCACATTCCAATGAAGGATGCATCACCTCCGTGCAACACATCAGGTCATTACTGACCACGCCACCTAACTGGAACCAAGGCTGGAAGGAAGGGAGAGGCGGCTCGTTTAGTCTGTTAGCCCAACCTTCATTTATTGGGTGTCTTCCGAGTACAGAGCCAGTCACTGAATCACAGGACATTAGGGCTGGTGGCGCCCTAATAAATCATCCCGTCCGCCCCCAGGACTTCACAGATGGCAGCACTCACATGGAGGGGTTAAAGCACCTGCTTAAGGTCACACAGCAGAGCTCAGGCCAGAATTCAAGACATCTGTCACCAGTTTGTTGTGCTTTCTAGCCCACCCTATGGCTGAAGGAAGGTGCAGATGATTGATTCGCTTCTATGAGTACATAAAGTGAAGGAAAACATGCAATTTCTCTTAAGTGCTCCAAATTAATAAGGACCCAGGATACAGAAAAAGATGAATAGCAAAGGCATTTTTAGAAAGCGAAATTGGAAAGCATGGAGGTAACTCTTCTTCTGCAAATGGTGATCACATTAGGAAAACGTGGGGGGAAATAGTTTTCTGGGGGGAAAGAGCCTTTATTGAATTGGTTTTCCTTCCCTGCTACATTTGCTCGTTCATCCGCCTTCCCACTGGCACACAACACTATTCTTCCGCCCATTTTTCTTTCCCCTGACATATTTATTACCTTATTTTCATATTATACTATAACCCTTGGTATACACAGCTTTTAAAGCAGCTATTTTTAATGCAAGATGACGCGCCAAGCTTTGAACCCCCCAATAAAATTGACCGGGGACATCTGGCACTAAAATGCTTACACTTCCTCCCTAGAGAAGCCTGCTCTCCGTTTGCTATCTTTAAAAAGTAACGTAGGAATGAAAATAGGTTGACATTTCGAAAACAAAACAATGACCAAAAAATCTCATTTTTCTATTTCAAGTTAAAGTCTTCAAGATAGATCCCTTGAGAGTTGACATTTGACGCAATTGGTTATTTTCATATATTTGACTCTGACTATATACAAGGGCCAGGTAGCTCATCTACTAATTTTTCTTCAGAGGAATACAAGATAGTACTAAACGTGTCATTGGAATTCAATGTTAAAAGTACAAATGCTATAAATTTATGAAAACAAAGGATTTGTGATTATTTCTTTTGACAATTGAAAAATAAATATTCTAAGGTCTTTGAGATAACAGCCTTGATTAAAATACAGCTCCTGGAGATCCTTGGGGAATTCCAAAGGATCTGGAGACCCTCTGGTTGTTGTCAGGTACACATGTTTTTACTTTTTAGGTGCAGAGAAATTAAGTCGTGACTGAAGCTTCTGAGCTACAGGCACAGAGGTCTGTGTTAGTTTCCGCTGCTAAGGTTAAGCCGTGGGTCTGCGGGGAAGAAGGGGTCATCTTGTGTCTGAGAGTCCTTTGTGGAAAGGGAGATAACTATCCTGCTCTTAATGGTTTCTGGTCAAAAGTCCATCTATTATTTGAGATTTGTGCTTGTTCGCTCTTCTGACCGTTTGCTTATTACCTGTCAATATCTGTATATCTGCTTCAGGGAGAAGTAGGTTTCTCGTATTATAATGAAATAAGATGGGCTTATTATCCCAAAGAAGAGGTTGAGATTGGATGTCAGTATGAATGCTCGATTTCTACCCCAGCTAAAATAATAGAACGGAATGGGGACAGGCACCTGGTGCTCAGCTGACTGACAGAGACCACTCCCCTCCCCGCCCATTCTTCCCCATTGCCTGGTGAGCTCTTCTGGTACCAGTGCAGAGGCCTAAGGTCATATGGAGAAAAGAGAAAGGTCAACCTAGAACACCATATCTTCTGGGCATCTTACCTGTCTGTGTGCAGGAGTGAGCACATGGTACGGTCCACCTTCCTCATCTACAGACGACAAAACTGAGGACAAGAGAGAGGCGAAGGCCTAGCCTGAGGCCACGTGCTTGTTGTGGGCAGAGCGAACACTGGATTCCAGCTCTCCTCCTTCCAGATAAATATCCTCTCTACCAATCGGAAGTGCAAATGCCATTCACCTCCAAATGTTCATTAACCTGTCCTTCCCTTCTGGAAGAATCAGATTTCTTAAATGGCACCTGAATTGCTTCAGTTTCTTTCACTTACATTTGTATTAGGGAAGACATGAATTTATGCTCTAGGATGCATTGGTATTATTTGTGGCACAAGATTAAGTATGCGACGCCACTTGGTTTCACAGCACTTACCCATACTGAACGATGCCCATCAGTGGACCAGCAGGGCCAATGTCAAGAGCTTGGGCAACATCAGCCAGGAACTGCTTTTGGATTCGGAATCGACGTTTGCCAATGCTTGAGCTCCCGTCAATTACAAATGACAAGTCAATTTTGCAGTCTGAGGAATGGAAAAGGGGTCTGTTATTCTGATCATCTCTCATTGCATTAACCTGGGCATTCTCCCCCTCCCTCTTTCCCCATCAGAGCCCTCCCCACTCCACCCCGAGAATCCAATGAAAAGAAAATAAAAAGAAGTGGCAAGATGCAGGGTATATTCACTTATTTATATTCCTGACAGATTTTTACTGGGCCCCAAGATCCGGGACACTTGGACTAGTACTTATTTCTATAAATGTTTTAGAATTCTCTGCCCCAGCCACACTGATAGACTTCAGAAGCAATGACCTCCCATTCAAGTTTGGGGAAATCCTGAGGATGGTTTCCTCGGCTCAGACCACATAGGTTCAGACCCCTAGATGTAGAATTCACGAAGACTGAGTCTCAGGAGCTTGTGCTCTCTAACTCTCATCTTAATTTTGTAGAATTATGTGTTGGGTCTTTATAAAGGCAAGAAAAAATCAGCAAGGCTAGTGCGGAGGGGAGGGCAGGAATGGTAGAATGAGAAATTAATACCAATCTTCTCCTCATGTCCCTGGGTAAGGCAACCATAGAATTAACCATAGAATTATCTACACCTATCAGTACTTGTTTGTAGCAGTCTTTGAATTTTTCCCTTTCTTTTAGTTGTGATAAAGACTGGGACATTTTTCTGGCTAGGATCCCTGGACTTCCATGAATATATGGAGGTTATGTTGGAGGTGGGGGCGAAGAGCTATTCTCGGCCTCTCAAATGCTGTAGAAATTGGTGGAAAGCCACATAGGCTAATAGTGTCTTCTTTGCTCTCAACTGAAATTGCATCAACTTAGTATGATAAAACTGATTATTCAAAGCTGATCAGAAGTTCTTATTGGGAGGTATGTATCCCTTTGATCAATAAAAAAAAAAAAAAAAAAAAAAAAA